ACCAGCTAACATGTAGTGGAAAATGTGAAATCTAGTTGTGTTCTTACCTCATGCCAGTCAAGTTTCAGTGTGTCTGACTGTCTGCGCGGTGCCAGACGCACTTCTCCTTTTCAAACCTTTGTTGTTTCATCACCACTTCCTGACTGTGCCACACATCATGCATGTGTTCAAATATGCATTATAGCTGTTTAAAATCAAAGCAACATGAACCTGCCCTGCACGTCTGCTGGAACTCTATTTTTGTGTAAACATCTGAAGAAACTAGCAGCAGCACTCACGATGATTATGTTTATGTTTAAGTGGCAAGATATTTTCCTAAAATGACTGTGGGCTTTATCCTGATAGGCTGCTTACCCCTCTCTATCATAATGGACTTTCTTTTTTTTTTTTTTACTTTGACTGGGTTGGACAAAAGATAAAATCTACATGCTGTGACTTAGCCGTTTCATGTTGATGTTTGATTTGAGTAGTTGTAGGCCTGTAAGGCTACATGACTGGCCTATGATATTACAAATCCACTGCACCACATTGCAATTTAAGGTAAATGTGCCTTTAAGGTTAGAATTACGCAACACAGACTACTAGCTAATTTGCATTATGCCAGTAGCTACTTTAAGAAGTGTGGCTTTGGTGCTTTAAATCAGAAAAGTTTATTTTGTCTTGTAATACTTTCAGTTTTAGGTTTGGGTTGGTTTACGCTGTGAGAGATAACAAGAGGTACCTGTTATTGGTTCAGATATGCTCCTGAAGGCTTGGTTAAAGCTCTTGAAAGGTTATATAAAAAATTTAGACAGTATAAAAACATGGGCACATGACTGTTATGAGCTCAGTCACTCATTTTGGGTCATACTGAATAGAAGATGAAGTTTCATTTGAAAATCTTGGTCATTCCTAGTTTTAAAATGGAGGATTGTCAGTGATATGAAACTGCAAAGTCATTAGCTAACCACTTGCGAATGACAAGTCATGACCCAGGGAGAGACGGTTTCAGTCAGACCCACCCTTTCCTCATCACATCTGGGGGGAGGTGGGGTTGCAACCAAGATGGCAATGTTGCTCAAAATGGGACTTAAGAAACCAATGGGTGGCATCATGTCAGCTACATCCACCTTTTATCCTGCCTGTGACCAGAACCCAAAGTGTGACCTTTCCCTAAATCAAAATAAATGGTTTTGTTGCCAGAACCTAACTAAAATGTGTGGCCTTCTTGGTATTTATTGTTTTAGTCTTGATCTGCATGTTTGATTTGGCAAGGATTTTATGACGGGCGTCCTTTCTAATGCAACCCTCTCCATTTATCCCTACTCCAGACCAGCCCTTGTGTGGCTAGGGGACATATTATTTATCGCCTAAAAATTAAAACCTAACATGGTAAATATTGTAGTACTTGCACATTTGCTCAACAAGTGAAAGATTTCCTAGTCGGATCGTGAGAGAAGTCACAAATTTCTTGACGTCAAGATGAAGTGTTATTGTTATTTATCCTTAGTAAAATCTGAACATCTGTGGCTTTTTAAAGAAATCCATCCTCGTTGTTTGATATATTTCACTAAAATAGTAGCAGTGAGCTAGTAGGACACACTGGAGAAATCCAACAGCTGTTGAGAAATTTCAAGTTGCACCAAAGTGGTAAGCCAACCTAGTGACCAGCAGACCAACTTTACCATCTTAAGTTCTGCAGTCTTAGCAAAGGATACGCTACAAGGTAGAACACATATCAGATGTAGACACAGGCTGCTGAAAATGAATCAAGCTGAGGAAACTGTTATTGATAAAAAAAATCTTGCCTAATACCACAAGTTTTTTTCATTCTCTTGGGGTTTGTTTTCTCAAACTGGAATTTCCATCATTATTTACAAATTGATTTGCATGAATCGTAAGAGATATGAATATAATGTGAATGTAGATTTATATAATATAAGATGTAACATTTGATCAAAATTAAATATAATACTTTAATGCTGAATATAAAGACCAGGCCTTGTCCATGTGACTTCCCTGCATGGTTTTTCTTTTTTTAGGTCAACAACTAGTTTGTTTACAGTCTCTCAGCAGTCACTATTAATAAAGCAAGATGCCTCCAATACTGTGATTTCAGTAGTAGTGCTGTTATTAGTAAACGTACTGCTATGAGTTGTCCTATGTGAAAGAAAATTTCTGAACACTGCTTTCAAAGCCCTTTTCCTTTTAAGTCTGTGAGAAGCTACAGAAGCAGATTTAGACTGTGATTATGTTTAAGAGTTTCCTGGTTTCATGTACTGAGATGACTTAACTGAATTTAAAGTGTGAGAATGTGCCCACAGCTACACTTCACAGCTTGAAGTTACCGTCATCAGTCACCAGAGAAATATAGTTAAATTCAAGTACGTGAGAAGAGATCTAATTGTGCTTTCAGTTTTAAACTGGGGAAAAAAAATGCTTTCACTTTTGGGGAAACCATATGACACTTTTTTGTTTCTGTAAATGTGTTTCTTTGTATGCAGTCATGTGAAAAAAGTATGCCCTCTTCCAGTTCTAATGTTTTCAGGACATAAAAAGTCATCCGGTCATTGCCAAGTTCTTAAGAAAATACAACCACAAATGAACAACAGCGGATAACATACTACACCGTGTCTTTATTCAACACAAGCTAAGCTAGAATGCAGATACGGTGTGGGAAAAACTAAGTACGCCCCCTGATTCAGTAGCTTCAAGAATAACCTTTGGAAGCAATAACCTGAAGTAGGTGTTTTCAGTATGACTTTCTTAGCCTCTCACATTGTTGTGGAGAAATTTTGGCCCACTCTTCTTTAGTCTTGCTTCAGTTCGTTGAGGTTTGTGGGCATTTGTTTACGCGCTCTAAAAGCCTCGCCTCATCATTTCATTTGAGTTGAGGTTGGGACTTTGACTGGGCTTATTACAACTCCGTGAATCTTTTCTTTCTTTTCTCCTCAGGATATTTGCTTTGTTGCCTGGTCCAGTTTCATCCAAGCCTTAGATGTTGGAAATATAGCCACACGTTTGATTCCAGAATACTTTGGTACACAGAGGAGTTCATTGAGGACTCAGTGGCTACAGGTGCCTGTGGCTACAATATAAACCCAAATCATCACCCCTCCACTGCCGTGCTTCATAGCTGGTATGAACTGTTTCTGCTGATATGCTGAGTTTGCAACGTTGCCATGCTGTTCTGAACTGTGCTGCCATGATCTTTTTAGAGAAAGGTTCTCTTGGCATCCCGTCTAAACAGGCAATGCTTCTTCAGTCTTTCACTGATTCTGCTTTAATGGACTTTAACATTTAACATGCTAACTGAGGCATGTAGTTTTTTGCAGTTTCTCTGAGCACTGCACGGTCTGGGCTTGGGTGAATTTGCCAGGGTGTCCACTGTGAGGAAGACTGGCAACTGTCTTTAATGTTTTCTCCTTGGAAAGGTGAATTTCAAATTGTTTGAAAATGGCCTCATAAATCTTTCAAGATTGATGGAAAGCAACAGCTGTTTTCCTAAAATCATTGCTTCCTAAAATGTCCTTAATTCTTGTCACTGAGTTAGCACACACCAGCTGATGATGAGTTAATTTGATCAGTTTGAAAGTGTATTTGAGTTGCAGCACCTGTTATCTACTTACTCTGTTAACTCAGTATTGATTTTTTCACAAAGTACCTCTGAATTTTGGCTTTGTTTAGTTTAAATAAATTAAGACATGATGTGTGTCTTAATTCATTTATTATTTGTTTATTATTTGTTCATCTGACCCGATTTATTTTTTAAACATCAGAAGTGAAAGACGATATACTATAGTACAGGATGACTACTAACTACTAAAGACACATAACACATTTTAAAATTAATATTCTGAATTAAGAAGAAATAACAGTATTAGTTCTATAGTAAAAGTTACAATTGAATAATTTCTGATGTGAGTCACTGTCTGGTTTTATGAAAAGCATTGAGCAAGGAGGTTTGTTCCAGTTGCCTTGTTTAGTTTTTGAAACTAAATGTGATGAGCAAGCAGTGAATAGGAACTGAAGGACATTGCTTGCCCATATGGTACTTATCACTATTTAGTCACAAGGTGCCACGGATCATACCATGTTTCATCATGTTTATATATCTAAATGGTACCATAATTTACAAAGTGAATGTTTTGGTAAATATGAGCGAAAGCTAAGTACAAACCGATCAGGAAAGTGTTTACTGCAGTCAAACACAGAGGGACCAGTGGGGTCCCTTCCTTATAAACCCAAATAATTTGACTTCATCTTAGCAATCAGATACATGGCGCCCTGTTGGCCAATATAAAGAAAACAGCTTTAAAGCCCAACTGAATTGGCTTCAATTTTCAAACCCAAATGCGCATCTTTTATATACAGTCTGTAACTGTACACGAAAATGTATAATGTCTAAAAGAAAAAAATTACAATTAATTCAGTAATCATGTGCAATCACACACACACATTAAACTATTAAAATATGATTTAATAATTTTTGACTTGATGATAAAATGGCAGCATCCAGCTGTATGACTGAGGACTCTGGGTTGTACAGAAAAATATCTCATAATATACTATACTAATTTTCCTCCTGCAAAAAAAGAGAGACAAAAAACCCACACAAACATGCAAAGACAAAAGGCACATTCATCCAAGCACTAACTGCATATTTGCTCTGCAGGTACAAACAACACGTCTGTTTACTTTCATTGAAAAAGCCCCTTTTAAAGATGTTCTATTCTTAATTTGACTCTACAAATGTTTGTTAATGGTTTAATACAAACTTGAAAACTTTTGCACGGTGACACCTTGGAAATATTTTTGAAAATTACTCAGGTACAATTACTGAGAAAGACCAATAAAAACCTTCCATGTACGGCTAAAAAAAATTCAAATATATTTCTCACTGATTGGAAAAGTAAGACGCAGACAAACATAACCACAAACACTTCCTGCTAACATAGAAGCAAAATCATGTATTGAAGAAAGGTGAAACATTGAAATGACTGGAAAACAACATGTTTAAAAAAAAAAAACAACAACCCACAAGTGACAAATGTGCTACAGCATTGCACTGGAAGAGCCAGCCAGTTTCTAAGATGGTTCCTTCAGCAACAAGTGGACGTGTTGAACAACAATTTGAGTATTTAGGAAACCTGCAAATAGTCAGATAAGGAGCCTGCCACAATTTTCAGCAAAGCAAAAGACACGTTTTACACAAAGGTCGAGCCTGGAGTTGAAAGATGGAACTGAGAAGCAACAGAGAAACACAGGCACACAAACAGTCATGGTTTACCAACACACACACACACACACACACACACACATGCACACACACACATAAACCATATGTGTTTCCTCTAGGAGGCGGTGAACTTCCTGAGTGTGATGACGATGAGAGCGAGGAGGACAGATGCTCCCAGGAAGACTGCTATAACTATGGCTGTGATGGCCCCTGGCCCCATGGCCCCTGCACACAGGCATATATATTTATTTATTTATATATATATATATATATACACACACACAATTAGGAAAGAAAATTTATTTGGTGGTTGTGTGCATGTTGATCAGTCAAAAATGGGACAACTTTACCTTCCTCTTCGTTGAAAACTTCTGTGGCATCATCATAGTCGATGGTGGAGGGATGGTCTGTTAAGTAGTGGGTTTTGGGGGTGGTGTCGCTGGGTGGCTCATCTCCAGACACGGTGTCTTGGTTGTCCCTAGTTGCTGGGGCAGTGTCTAAAACAGTGTCTGCAGAAAAAGGACAAGGATAGCTTTTATTTTAAAAAAAAAAAAGAAAAGACGTGGCTGATGTGCTGCATCAGCTATGATTGCATGTTTTCTTACTGAAGTCTTTCACTGCTCCTCCTTGAATCGCTACCTTATCGTGGTGGAGGGGTTTGTGTGT